CCGGCAGACGGACAGATGGACGGTGCTGGCTCCGCTCCTGCACCTTCCCCTCTCTGTGCCAAGCCTCTCGCAGAGCCTGTACCTGTGGGCCTCGTTCACAGGGGCTTTCCCTGTAAGATCTGACGGGCTTCTCTAGTCCTGATCTTTTTAACGGGTGCACTGGTGGGCATTGTATAATGCTGATTTTTTTTTTTTTTCCGTTCAGTCACGTGGCATTAAAACAAACGCGAGTGTAAAGAGTCCGAGCGCACTGTGTCAACACATCCACCTTCACCAACCTGGTTTCTCTGTGACTGGGGAGCAAGAGCAAAAGAATTGGCTTTTATCCCATCGTCTGGACTCCATAGGGTTCCTGTGATATTTCATTAATATCAAGCAGTCAGGAATTAGCAGCAAATGCCTTTTAATCCCTAGGAAGACAATTGGCTATTTAAAAAAAAAAAAAAAAAGTGCTTAATTTTGGTTTGATTCCTCCTGCTGCTGAGTTGTTGCCCAGCCCAGGCCCAGCAGCGCTGCGGAAGGAACCTGCAGCCCCTGGGGCTGCCAGCTCCCGGCTGGAAACCCGCTTCGCACCGTGGGCTCGGCTCCCCGGGCTCCTTTGCACGGGCCTTGCAGCATGGGGGGATGCAGCCTGGGCTGCTCCTGCTGCGTGAAGGGTCCCCAGGAACCCCAGCCCGCACGCTTGATGGGGACATGAGATGGGGATGCCGGCGTGACACCGAGCTCCCCCGATGCTCCTCGCTCCTGGCAGTGGCCGTGGCACGGCTGCAGCAGGACGGGCATGGGATGGGGATGCTCGTCCAGCCCACTCGGCTCTCCAGCGGCTGCACTCCTCTGCACAAACGTCCTCCCATTTGTCCCGTTAGTGCCGTCGTTACAAACCAGTTAGTCCCCTACGGAGAGGAAAAGCAGCCCAGCCAGGGCCTTGCCGAGGGGCTGCATGGCCCCGGACCCCTGTGTCCCCCGCCAGCCCAGGGAGCGCTGGGGTAAGCTGTCCTCCCCTCCCGCTTGTGTACTGGGGCTAATTGGTGCAGGGCACCTGGGAGCCCAGCTTCGCACCTTGTTAGCACGGCAATTAGCTCTCTTTACCCTCCTGATTGCTCTTGTGCATATTTGACTCCAATCCATCTTTCCAGCCAGTTATAAATGCAGCACCAGGGAGGTAGGAGGAGTCGAGCTGGGGCAGGGACAGCAGAGCCATGCTGGGGACCATCCTGCTGCTGCTAGCCCTGGCCAAGCCGGTGTGCCTGAGTCCGGCCGGTGCGA